TGTTTGAGGCACTTGGTTGTATGGGGGAGTTTTTCGCGAGGTGTAATGGAAGGGTGACCAGCCGAAACCCTAGACAATCACCCCCGACCATACTGAGGACCATCACCTACGTTATTTAAAGCCCTAGTTGCTTTTAAACCTGTGGCGTACTCCACGATAGTTTTCGCGGACGTCATCCTAAAAGAGATGTATATGGGTTTTTCAAAGACCTCTAATGTGCTTAGTGTCCACATTATCACCATTGTTTCATTGAACCATTTTTGATCTAGTTCTATCCACGCGAAGGATCAGAAATAAAACAAGCTAACTGAAACTTCGGAATGTATTGCTATTTTCCTACTCTTATTGAGAATTTGGGTGATTTTTCCCTCATTGTCATCCTTTGTTCAGGCTGTAGACAGTAGTCAAAACGGCAGTCTTTCTGAAGCATCAGTCACTCGGGCTTTGTCTCAGCTGGAATTCGCTCTGCGTTCAGACGTTTGGGGTGGAGAATCTTGTGAACTGCGTTTGGGATTCATTGATCGGTATTTTGCCAGTGAAGAAGGTCCCGGTGGAGGCGGGACTGGATCACCGGTCGTTATCACTCCCGGTAGTACCGCTGGAGGTGGTGCCAATACTGCGTCGGGACAATCGACGGGACACCCTGGTCCCCCGGGATCTGGTACGGTTGCAACCACGCCGAGTGCGGCCCAGTCAGCTGCACATCCCGGTGCTCCTGGCTTAGGAACAGCGCAAACCAATCATTTGCTGATGACACTGGAGGTACTACGTATTCTGTTCACATCGTTGGTAAGTGTCTCGTCACACCCATCTGAATAGCTTCATAGCAAAAGGATTCTTTTTCTTGATTCGAATGGATTACTGCTTTTTATTGTATGTTCCTGTCGCAGTAGCAGCGATAATTGAATTTATTTTGTGAGCAAGAAAATCTGTGTTATCATGGAATTTAATCTCTATGATCTTTGAACTAGATACATGGCACTTTGAAAGAGATGGTGTTCGGTACTTTTTCAACATTTCAACGGTAACGTTGTGTGGTTCAATAGGTGCATGACCTTCACTCATTCTCTCATTTGGTTCGCGGCTTTTGTTTAGCGAACGTATGCAGAGAAATCCAAATGACCACATAAGAATAATTGATGACTCTTACGTTGATTTCATGGCCGAAAACATTTACATTTATATTGCATGCTTCTTCAGAGAATGTCAAACCAACCATGGGACGACAATATTCGGGTAAACGAAGTCAGTTTTTAGTTTGTTCACCGATGAAATACTTCTATGGTTACCAAGACCAAATCCGATGATTGTACATATCCGGAGCCTACGTTTGGTCAAAGACTGACCTATAAACGAAGGGGGAAGTTTAAAAACTGTCAGTGTTAGTTGAATCGTCCGTCTTCCGAATGTTTCACACATCCCGGCTTACTGGTGCGCCCCGTTATCAAATCGAGCTCGTGACCATTTGCTGGAGTCAGTTTATACTCCGAATTGGAAAACCCAGCTTTTTCAATCCCCTTAAATGGGCTTCTAAACTTGAATATAGTTTTGTATAGTGGTTCTTTCCTCTCAAAATTTAATGAAAACACCCTACATTCGTGAAGGCAGTTTGTAGATTTCTCCCAAATGTTCTTACAGATCCACTCCACGAGAGCGTTTCTCAGAGCGAAAACACCTTTGGAGAAAGTGGAGCTTTTTGAGAATCATGGTCTTGGAAACAGCCTAGAGCCCACCTAGAATTTATTCAATAAATACATTTTACTTTCTCGCACCGCTGTCTAGCACAATAAGCGTGATGGTTGTGGTAGATTCGAATTTCCTAGTCGCAGACGAAATCATTAAGTATTTCAACCCCTCTGACAAAGGGGTACACGGCAAGTAGGTTGATGGAAAACGCACAGTACGATTAATCATGGCTAAAGTCTGTGAAGGTCCAATACAGATTACCACAATCCCTTGAAACTCCATGATATTTTCCAAACACAATCTCTAGTGATGACTAAGTTGTTTTTGTTTCTGGGTTCAAAGACCACCCTTTCTCTCTTTTTCCCGTGTTTATTCTAGGAAAGCCATACTTTGCTGTCCAACGTGAAACATTTCAGCGGTGGCCTGTGTGCACTGCTCACGCGTCAGCTGACGAACGTGCGTCTGATACGTTCTTGTGCCAATCTGTTACGGGCCATGCTTGAAAAATTCCCGGCTGACGCATCACATCGGCAAAAGATAACCACACATGCCGAGTTGTTTGACATCTATTCAACTACATCGAAAGCAATTCAAGAATCATTTACTCTGTATAGTGAGAAGTGAGTTGGGTTTTTGTTGTCCCATAAGCAACGTTTTCACTTGTTGCTGCGTTTGCTCTTGTAACTCACACTTAATTAAGTTTGTCCAGGTATCGTCTTAAGTTCCTTCACCATTCTCACAAGTTAACCCATTGACATCAGAGTTGCCAGTCCCAGTTCAGTTCAGTGTAAACAACCATTAAGCATGCATTTCCATGAGACGCTTTTGGCTGCCCATTTGGGTGAACAATAGGAGGAAAACAGGAAGGGTGGAAGTAGGATCGAAGAGGAAATTGAAAAGTTCAGTGGACTAATGAAGCAGAGAAATTGGGAAGATGCGCGAACGCCAGTTTACGACACCCGGCCATATCACTCAGTGTCTCCAACCATCGGTTACGACCATCCCGAGGTCCCCAGCCAGGGAGACTAACGGGACCTATGTGACCCGTTAGGGTTTTCATACCCTCATACCAGGTCTTAACTTGATCACCCTGGGCTTTATTCCTCCCACTACCTGCCTCGGCAAACATCGCTGCCAGTCCCACGTTCTGTTATAGTTTAACATCGATTTCCGGATGATACATAGACCACACAAAGATTTCTCAACTCTCTTAGGGGGTCCGAGAGAGGCGGTGTTACTACCTGCCTCGGTCGCACATGCCACAAATCCAATGAGAATTTCTCGGCAGTTCACTCTGTGCTTGTTCATTCTGCTTCTGAATGATCACATGGTGCCATATTCCGCTGATGTTGATGATGATAAAATAACTCGAACTGATACCTGGACAAATTGATTTGACATTCGGATAACTTGATCTGCTAGAGGTTTAGTCATCGTTTCCCAACCGACCTGCGTCTTTTCGACTACAGACGTGCACTACCTGTTTGTTTCCCTTTAGCGGTCCAAAGTCCACATTGCTCGCTCGACTTCAGTCTGCCTTTCTGCTGTTCCAAGCAACTCAAGTACATTCGAACCCACACGCATTCGTTGATCGATGTATTGTCCAGCTTGTCAAGTTAACTCATCGCCTAATTCAAGACGTGATCAGTCCCTCCTTTGGCTCGAATGCGCAGGATTCCGGTGCCAGTTCACGTGAGTTTATTTTCTCTTTTTTTATTGAATTATTAATTTTCCGAATGTGCGAGGTAGTCGATCAAGTGGCGTCTATAAGAGATGGGGAAGATAGATGGTATCGGTATGATTCCGAGATGAGATATCTTGGGAACCAGAAACCCAGACATCACATGGATGAATACTAAATATAAATTTGAAACAGTGCCTGGTGCCTCTGAAAAATCGAATGGATTGATCCAAACTTGATACTCTGAAACGGTTCTCGTTTCTACATCCTCACTACGCATTTGTGTTCTTCTTTACTGTGTGACGTATTTGCAACAGATTTTCCTTTAACTTTATTCTCTTCATTTTCACCAGTTCACTACATTTTGAATACCACCTCCTCTAACAATGATCGGTATCAGTTTGACACTTATGCAGCAATATGCGTTGCATTGGGAAATAGTTAAACTCAACCTCCACTCAGATGCTAGAGATGCCTGAGAAGGAGAAGCAGATGTATTTCAGCACACAGTATGTGTATACTTTCAGTGAATTTACATTTTCAAACCGTTGCATGTATATTCACCTGAGACAAGATAGCGATTGAACGTATTATTATATGCAACGGAAATCGCTCGATCCGCGGTCATTTCATTGACCGGGTGATGGAGGAACTCGAGCTAAAAAAAATCAATCTCGATTTACGTAGGCAAGGTTCGCTTAACTACCTTGTGAACGTGCTTATTTCGCCCGTACAACTTTCTCCGTCTTGTGCTCATGTATGTACCTCATATCGCATTGTACTATGTGATTCAGAGACTTGACAAGCTCAATATTTTTGTCGCTTTTATTCCGTTCCTGTATAATTTATAATTTTACTATTTGGTGACGCTTAACGTTCCCGCTCTATCCATATTTGTGCTTGTTCTACTCATTCCTCTCGGGTTCATTCGTGAACGAGCTGGGGAAGTTTAATCGTGTGGTAGTCAAATCCACCTCGAATCGACACACCTTCCTATTCTGAACTGTTTTTTGTCGCTCGTCTACGTAAAATTCACAGAACTGACGGATCTGCTTATCACTGGCCTCGAGGTAATCAAATCCCGACTGAATGTAGTCAGTCACGAGATGCGTAAAAACGCCTTCGGACCGGATCTTTGTCTGATCATGGATCGTGCACGCGATCCCCGTCTGTTTCGAACGGTAATTAAAATACTGCGAGATTGGATCAATGTGCCGAAGTCGGAAGAGCATTTTGCTCCAACCGCCCGTGAGAAAGTGAGTTTCTTCCATCGGCTATGGTTGGCGTATCCTCGATGGGTGGATATGTCCCCGGATATTGCACGAGAAATACTCGAATGTGTCTACGAGGTGAGTATATGTTCAGTGACCGTACGCACTCTCCGTTTCTCGGCCTCGCCCATAGCTGTCCCGTCCTCCTTTGTACTGGGCATAAAGCTCCGCAGGCATATATTTCCACATTTCAGTCAAAAATTACCCTGCATCTGTTCCTCACAACTTCTTGGCAGTAAAACAATACGTGATAAAACGGACGAACGAACAAGAGTGCGGGCCGAGGGAATTCTTTTGGCGGTCAATGCGGCAGGAAATAGGTGGATAAACAGAGTTTGTATAATGATGGACAAGAAAAGGGATATTCTGTTATATCATGGTTGTGAGGGGTTGTCTATAATTTTATAAGAACACTTTAGTCAGCTGGATGTTTGTTGCTCGCTTGGTTTTGCAATTAATTCGTCGAAGGAATTAAAGAAACTTATAATGATCATTCATATACTCTGGAATAAAACTTAAATCTGATCGGGAGTTCATCAACAAAACNAACGTTCATATATTGAGATCGCATTACCTGACGAAACTTCTGAATTGATGGTTAAAGTGTTTGGATTCGTTTCATTCAGCTGATTACATAGCTCACGTTTTGTGGAATAACTTTTAGATACTTCACTCCTAGGACACCGAATGAATGAAGTCTGTTGGAAAATGATCACTTGGTGACTAAATCCAAAGCTGAGGCGTTTTCGAAAAACGTTGGAACAGATTTTACCTTCCCTCAAGTATCTGGTAATTAACTGATAACATTAGTCACTGCACATGGTGTAAGAGGTTTCTGGTTTATAATCAAACTGAAATGGATACAGTGGACATATGTCTGCAGTGGCAGTCGACCTAGAATAGATTTGTCTAATATTTTTAATGCGAGAAACATCACGGGTACTGCGGGCATGAGATGGTCACTTCCATATTATTTGCCTGATATGGTTTTACTTATTTCGACTAGTTTACTCAAGAAATGATGTAGTAGTCTAGATCTCCACCCAACACCATCTGCTCGGACGGTGCATCACGCGCAGAGTGTGACTGACATGCAATAACATAATTCGCCCTGTGAAACTCAACTCAGGACTCTTTTGCTTTTGTTTTTCAAAGCCGTAATGTTGTTCCTACAATGTACTGTCCTTATTAGCAATTGTGTTGTTGTTGTGTGAGAGTATTTTTCTTTTCAAGATGATGTTCAATTTACTTCATCATTTCGTTTTTTAAAGGTATACTCCAGTGGAAATTTATTCAAGAACCACGATTTGTACGTCAAGCTAGAACAAGCATTTTGTTGTAGCATGCTGTGTCCATTCCCAGACATCCGTGAACGCTTCGTCTCCTTGTATCTGGATGCATCACAACTGTACTCAGCCCAATCCTCGGCAGCCTCCTCAGCCCAAGCCAACGTTTATAAACCGAGCTCCCATCCACCGTCCGACCCTATGTCTACTCCTGGTGCTACGGATTCCGGGTCTATCGCAAACGGTGGTGGTCCCGGCCTTGATCTATCCGGATCCACTTCGTCATCTCCGGTGCATCACACAGACACGGATCGAGAGTCTGCCTGTTCCGTCCCGGGTTCCGATTCGCAACCGTCCTTGCACCGTCCGCCCACCACGGCTTCCTCTCTTCTTGTCCGTCTCCTATTTCTGTTTGTCTCATGCAGCTGGGATGAGGCACATTTTCGGGATGAGTTCTGGCTCCCCTTGTTTTTCGATGTAAGTCTTCCGGCAAGTAAATTATCGCCGTATATTACTTTCGCTGAACACATTTCGTTTTAATATATCCGTATCTGTCTATCATATTCGAAGGATTTTCCAAGGTCATATATTTTTGTACTTACTCAAGTCATTTTTGTACAACAATAGCAATCATTCACCAGATCTTCCTTCATAAGCCACACTCTTCTTTAGTGAAGGTTAGATATTTTTTCTTATGATTCGCTTTAGTTTATCCTCAGGAATATTTCCAGTTATCAATAAATGTTTATTATTTTTATTCAGGTTCTTCTGTGTGATGTCGATACTGGTTTGCCACCACTTCTAGCCGCTGGTTCTAACCTGTTCCAATTACCTGCAACCGATGCGTTTGATTCAAAGTTCGTCGAGTCCACCATTACCTGTTCCCTGTCGCCAGAGTTTTCAAAATTGATAGAATGGCAAATCAAAGGAAGTAAAGAGGCCGCGGCGGTAAGTGTCCGCTTTCTCTTCCATTCTGATTAGAAAGACCCAGGCATTTATTAGATCCGCTCATGGTTTTCTCTCCAGCGGCTCGTTGATAATTTGTCACATAGAACTAAGTCATCATTAGTTGTATTATGCTCAGATGGAAGAAATATTGCACAAAAGTGTTTAATTTTATGGTGGAATGTTGTTTTTGTTGCTGTAGTAGTAGAAAAAATCGATCAAATCCCTATGTCTAACTTGAATGAGATCGGAATGGAGAAACTAGATAGCATTGACCTTGGATCGGGAAGAAAGTGAGAATGTCGGGGATAGTGCATAAACGTGATACAACGGGTTAAACTTTGTACCTCTTCTTTTCACATTAATTTGGCCAAATCATTCCGGATTCTACTGTATGTGTTCCAATTCAAGCAAATGATAATCTCAAAAGATTTGTTTTCAA